CGTTAACTCATGATTCGGGAGTAATTGGTTAATTTTGTTGGGCAAGATTCATGATCGGTACCCTGTTTATGCAGATTCGGGGTAATTGTTCTTAATAATATTGACGGATCAGGGGTAATTAGTTAATTTTGTTGGGTAAGATTTGAGGGTAATTGTTCGTAATAATATTGAAGGATCAGGGGTAATTAGTTAATTTTGTTGGGTAAGATTTGAGGGTAATTGTTCGTAATAATATTGAAGGATCAGGGGTAATTGGTTAACTTTGTTGGGCAAGATTTAAGGTAAATGATTGTGGTAATATTGAAGGATCAGGGGTAATTGGTTAACTTTGTTGGGCAAGATTTGGGGTAATTGTTCGTAATAATATTGAAAGATCAGGGGTAATTGGTTAACTTTGTTGGGTAAGATTTGGGGTAACCTATGATTTAAGCTGTTTATGGAAAGTGTGACGATACACCCCTTTTGCTAGCTACTTTAATGTTATTTATTTTTATTATTGCGGATCTGCGCTCTACTGTCGCACAGAACAATGGCGGATGCAACGAAAGCTTCGATTGGCTGCAGTCCTGAGAAAGTTAAAGTTTTATATAAGTATTTGTGTAACTGTATAATTTGTGTAGGTATATATAAGTATTTGTCTTAACCGTGCTAGTTTCATAAGGATTTAGGTATCAATACTCAATTAATTTTCGTTTATATTTGTCCTTTCTTTGTGTCGGCAAAACATGAACTTGTGATACAAGTCAATTGTCAAGTTATTATTACTTGAATAAATGTGAAATGTGTTCTCATTTTGTTGTACGCGTTTCCGTCCGGTGGTAGAATTAATCTTCTTCGCGAAACTTGGATCCTACGTAAATTTAACGCTTTTTATTAATTTTACTGCCTTCTCTGAGATGCATAATACTTATGTTGATTCACGTTCCTATGAATATGTCGGGTGCGGCCAGCATCGGGCTGGACCTGGGCGCAGGCAAGTGCTGTGTTGCCAGCGTGCGCGCTGGAGCGGTGACGGTGTTGCCAAACGCTCACGGCGACAAGACCACTCCAAGTTTTGTTGCCTTCACCGACTCCCGCAGCCTCGTGGGCAGCGATGCCAGGGACCAGGCGGCCCTCAACGCCGAGAACACTTTTTATGGCATCAAGACCGTCCTCGGCAGGAGCTACAAGCAAGAGAGTGGAGCCGTATCAATCGAATCATTGGAGCGCTTGAAGCTTTCCAATAGCGAGAGTGGAAAACAAGGAACACAACTTCGTTCGCTCGAAAAAGACCCAACTGTGTCTCCTTACCTTCCTGTATTTTCAACAACCAAGGATGGCTTGCCCGTCTTTGAAGTAAAATACAGGAATATAAATGCAATGCTACGTCCCGAGGAAATTGCGGCTTTGTTAATTGCTAACATGAAATCAGCGGCAGAAGATCAATTGGGCTGCGTCACAAACGCTGTCATCTCCGTCCCTGTAAATTGCAGCAACGCGCAGCGAGTAGCCACTCTTGACGCGGCCTGCATCGCCGGCCTTGAAAGCGTCACGCTGGTCAACTCGACCACCGCCGCTGCCATCGCTTACTGGAACCAGCGCCCCAGAGATGATGACTGCCTCGCCGTCGTCGATTTCGGAGCAAGTTCCCTGAACTTGGCGATTGTTTCCATTGAAAATGGGACGGTCAAAGTTCAGGAAGCTTTCGGAGGCTCCACGGTTGGCGGAAACTTTGTAGACGAGTGCTTGATGCAAGCCGTTATAAAAAAATTTGAAGATAAACACGAGCAACCATTCGAGAAGTCCCCCAGAGCACTCATGAACTTGAGGGCCTCCATGGAGAAGTTGAAACACAATCTGACATTATGCACTTCTTCTGATGTTCAAGTTGACTCAATGGCTCATGATATCGACTTCTCCTGTTCGTTCAGCAGGGCGGATATGGAAGATTCGTGCAAACAACAGTTTGAAATTTTCAGGAATGCGCTACGTCGATTGGCCCAGTCAAAGAGTTGGGCTACAGTTCGAACAGTTGTATTGGTGGGAGGCTCAACGCGTATTCCTGCCGTAGAAAATCTGATTCTCGAAACGTTAGGAAAACCTGTGGATCGCACGCTCGACAAAGACCATGCGGTTGCCTGTGGTGCTGCCCTTCGAGCTGTTAGGTCATGTGAGGTGGGGGAAGTGTTATCCAGGCGCATCTGGTTCCAGATCGGCTCAGAGTCAGCAGTAGTTTTCGACTGTGGAGCTCGTGTATCTGATGAGGGGGACTTCTGGGGATCAGAAACTGAGACCTTGAAACTCCTTAATCGTACTGCGATGACCGTTTATGAAGATGTTCCAGGGCTTAATCTAGAGGAATTCGAAACCTTCGAGCTGATAACAATACCGCCAATGAAGTTCTATGGTGATTTTTCCTATTTATTTGAATTTCTGTATAATGATATTTTGCGTATTCTATATCATGATGAAGAATTTATATATCATAAAGATATAACATTTGAGAGGCTTGGACTAACCGAAGACAGCAAAGGCATGCGCGCCTGTATAGTTCGTCATAAGATATTGCTGGACAACGCGACGAAATCTAAAGTTAACGAAAACACCAAGAAAGATAATGAAGAATCATGCACCAATGAACCGGAAAAGCTTGAGGTGATATTTGGCCGTGAATCTGATGCCCTCACGTGTGAAAAAGCTAACCATTGGCGTGAAGAAGATCTTGCTGAATTAGACTCAGAAGGCATTGCCAGAGCTGGGCAGTGCTACTTTGAAATGTAGCGGGCGCTACCGCTACCGCTACAATTGCTTAAATGTAGCGCCGCTACCGATCCCGCTACAACTGCTTAAATGTAGCGGCCGCGGCCGCTACCGCTACCGCTACAATTGCTTAAATGTAGCGCCGCTACCGCTACTGAAAATGTAGCGGCCGCTACATGTAGCGCGCTACTGCCCACCTCTGGGCATTGCCTGGTTTAATCAATCAACATGAGTGAAAATTTAACCAACACAGACACAGAAATTGTTACGTTTAAATAACATTGGTAAATGTTTCTTTTTACAACACTTTTCTTAACTTCACTTCTTGTTTGTTTGTTTGTTTGTTTGTCTGCTACAAATCTAATAATCGATATTTAACACACTTCTACCTGTCCAGTCGATCTGACACTGGTCTCTTTAGACGTGTTGCCTTTTAAAAGTGATTTTTAAACGCATATTTTCAAAATTGAATCGACGTCCTCGATACAACGTTGATATCAAGTTGATAAGTGACTGGATTACATTATCCATTCTTTAGCATGACAGTCAAATTATATGAGGGCCGTATTACGAGTAGCGGAATTGTGCTATAGCATATTATAGTATAGTATACTATTGAATAGTATAGTACAGTATGGTATAGTATAGTATAGTATGGTCTAGTATTGTATAGAATAGTATAGTATAGAGTATAGTATAACGGTCTCAGCGTTGAACCTGTCGCCCCATAAAAATAGATAAAAATCATATAAAATTTGTAAAGCGCGATGAAATAAAATCATATGGAGTCTGTTCAACACGTGAAATATATACATTATGCGATTGCTGCGTGGTTCATTGAGTGCATATATTCGGAGGCTCTTTTGAAGATTCATTGAACGTATATATTTATGTTAAATTTTATTAATTGTTCATTATTCGCGCTCCCATTATTCCAATTGATGTTGTATTCTGAATGAGCCTATTTACTAAATAGCTTTAGTTGTGCGTTGGTTCTTTATATGGACGAGGAACCAAACTCGGAGGCTGGCAATAACCTAATTTTGTTCTTTTGTGCGCATTCTCCTGTCCTCAGACACTAATGTTACCAGCACCTCAATCATGATCATTATCTTTATGTTAATGCGGCGTGTATGAAATCTTTCTGTTTATCATTATTATTTGTATTTCCTTTATTTGCATTAGTAATAACTCTGCAATAAAGTTGCATTAATTACATCGTTAAATACGGTATCGTAGTTGGCTTGAGACGGTATATATAATCAACTTCTCTGGCGCGAACTTTAACTTCTCATACCCGTACACTCAGAACAATTAATGGCTCATATTGTCCTAATAGCGACCCACTTCCTGCACGTAGCACTGATACGCCCTTTTGTCGAGCTAAGCTGGATCGCTGAGCCATACAAGGGCACAGTTTATCATCGGCCCTCTCTGTAGACGACTCACCTCGGCACTGGCTTCAACATTCCTGACCTTCAATGAAATTTATTACTTTAATATTGAATAATTTATTATATACCCTCGCGCTACGTTCTATGCATTATGGCCAACATCAACGTAACGGCCGTGACTCAATTGTATACGGCCAGGGGCAGAGTGTATACGGCCAGGTACAGAGTGTATACGGCCAGGTGCAGAGTGTATACGGCCAGGTACAGAGTGTATACGGCCAGGTGCAGAAGGTATACGGCCAGGTGCAGAGCTGTCTCTTATACACATCTAGATGTGTATAANTACAGAGTGTATACGGCCAGGTACAGAGTGTATACGGCCAGGTACAGAGTGTATACGGCCAGGTGCAGAGTGTATACGGCCAGTTACAGAGTGTATACGGCCAGGTACAGAGTGTATACAGCAGAGTGATGAGACCAAAGTATGATCCCAATCGTAGAACTTTACAAAAAAGTATTGGCTCAATCGTAGAACATTTCGACAAGATATGGTAATAAATTAATGGTATAACTTTACGATAAAGTATGGTCCCAATTACAGAACTTTGCACTGTAGTTTATAAGGAGATTGCGTGACTCAAGTTTTCTCGTCTGGAGGTGATGTAGTATGCGTGAGTTTTTATTAAGCCAAATCTAATAAAGGAAATTACGTAATCTTCTACACGACTTTCCCTGTAAAGTAGAGGGAAGTTCCTGCAAATAACGACGGTGTGTCGTAGCGTTAGTGACGTAGAGTTACGGGTCAACTTGCCACTAGTGGCATCAGAGATCATTTGCCACTAATGGGGTACAGCAAACTGAATATATATAGTGTTATTAATACACATCAATGGTACATAAATGTACCGAACATCCGAACATTCAATTAATGAATTGATGCTCTAATATTATACGGCCTTCAGAATTTGTTGAAACGCTAATATTTCAGGCATTAAAAGGAAGCAAACAATTCTTGGTTTGTGATCAAACTTTATTATACTTGCATTACCAATATTATATCATATCGTCATCATGCATCTCACGTAACAAATTTTATGCCCTGCAGAACAATGAAGATAATACAGAAAAATCATACGCAGTTAATATATAAGATATAATCTATGTACAGTTGTATCTATATTTCTGTAGAAATAATTTTATCAATATAGATGTAATCTATATCTATATAATCAGAGAAATCAAGTAGAAAAATTAAAATTATAGTACTATATAAATCAGCATTGGACATGCCTACCAACAACCATCACGTCTGCATTATGAATGAAATTAAACATAAATCAACGAACAAAATCAAACACGCTTACTTAAAACTATCAAAAAGTTCCTCTATTCTTAGCATGAGACTAGTTACTATTATACTTCAAACAGGTAGTTAGTATACCCCACTAAATAGTTAGAACGATTCATAAATACAAATAATTTTTGTTATAATTCATCACACATTAGTTATGATGAAGGAAATTAAACAAAATTTTATAAGAACCACTGACCAAGTAGTACGGCTGACCTCAGCCTCAGCGGCTGAATCTTAGCCGGCGACTGTGGCTTGCATGCCATTTTCGGGTAAGTAAATAAAAATTTACAGAAGAAATTTGGTCAAGAACTTTTAGCAAATATATGCAAATATCAAGAAAATTTAGCAAATAATAAATGTTACTTTAAATTTTACAATGAGCACCCAATGAAAATCAAAACTACACGTGTAAAAAACATTGCATTTTGCTTCGCGGTGGACACATGAAAAGGATCAATATCACAGCTTTTGATATGCATTTTTGAAGCATGGCGATGCCCTATAGTACTAGCTGATTTCGAGTGTATCATATCACGCAGTGATAACTCCTCATAAATTTAATATCGAAATCGCTGAGATATATAATTGTATGAATGGCTGGAGAGAAACATACACAAGTACAAATCTAATGCTGTTGTGTTTAAAATAAGAGCACGCACCAACAGTTCATTGTTGATATCGTGAAAATAACTTCCGAGTGCCACCATAACTCTAGAGATCGCCTGTTCTCCAGGTTACTTTGCTAATGACAAAACAAAATGAAACATTAATTAAACTGAAAGAATTAAAATATAAAAGAGTAAATTCACCGAAATTCTACTCCGTACTTTCTATCATGCAATTCTCGAATTGCAACACAAAACTTTTCAGAAGAAACAGCAAATGTGAGGAAAATAAATCGTATTAAATCACACAGCCCTTATCCTTACTTTTGTCTTTCTTTGTTTCTGCATTGGTGTTTTCAGCAGCGTTGTTGCCTCCAGTTTGTGTAATGTTGTGTCCAGACGCATTGGTTGCTTCCGACTGACCAAAACCTCTCAACGCTTCGCTTCTTTGTACCTGGTTGCCAGTGTCTCCGAAAACTTTGGCTTCTCCCGCTGGACCAGTGCTGCCAGACTCTTTGAGTGCTCCCGCTNGTGCTGCCAGAATTTTTGGTTGTTCCCGCTGGACCTGTGCTGCCAGAATCTTTGCTCGCTCCCGCTGGACCAGTGCTGCCAGAATCTTTGGCTGCTCTCGAATGACAGGTGCCTCCGGGAACTTTGGCCGCTTCAGCTGGATCAGGGCTACCACAATCTTTGAATGCTCCCGCTGGACTAGTGCTACCACGATTAATAGTTTCTCCTGATGGACCAGTGTTTCCATAAACCTTCGTCTTGGGTACTTGGGAGCAAGTTTTTTCAGAAACGTCTGTATGCTTAGCTGACCAATTTTTGTCGTCAGAAATACCATCATTTTCTCGATGATTGGAGTCGCCAGCAGAAGCTTCCATTTCTACGCTGACACCCTCATTTTTTTCTTGATCATTTTCAGTTGGTTCATCTTCAGCGTTATTTTCCTCTTGTGTCGTCTCAAGTTCAAACGTTGTCTTGTTCTGATCTTGTTCGCTATCGGGCTGTTCCTTTCGAATAATTTTAACGAGATTCCGCTCACAAATTTCTATGAGTTCTTTGTTCAACTTCTTCCAGGCTTCTAGAATTTTACTTTTCTTTTCAGCACATAAGGCCACGGTAGCATCTTCGTTGTCGTCTATCCAACTCAACAATTCGGTGATCAACTTTTCCATTCCTTCTGCGCCGGATGGCTGTTGAAGGCATATCAACCCTGCGGCTGTCTCGTGGCAGATTTCCTCTAACTCGTTGAGGGCCTTTGAGTCGTTTTCAACCGTTATGCGATCAAATTCAAACTGGTTCAGTTGCTTTTTCATTTCTGTAATTTCCAAATCCTTGCGAAATTTATTTTCTAACTTCCCTTCTACAATTTCATTCTCAACATTTTGGTAAAATACTGAAGTAACAGCGTCAAAAACTCCATGGGACCCAAGCGTGTATGAACTCTTAACTGCAATAGCATTATTATTGTTTAGCTCTCTTCGGATCACATCGCACTTCATGCCAGGTGTGGCCACGAGATACTTCTTAAACCCAGCAGCTTGTAAGGATGTTTCTCTCACTGGATCTTGCACCATCTCACTAATGGCGATGACTTGTGTTGTGTCATTGTCGTTCAGTTGGTCAGCTCTGATGGCTGCCCCGCACGCCACAGATTCATCCGCGTTCACAGTCTTGTTCAGAGTATTTCTTCCGAAATATGTTTGGAGAAAGTCAGAAATAAATGGAACTCTGCTAGATCCCCCAACGACGACCACTTCGTCGATTTGATCCTTAGTCAGTCCTGCATCCTGCAGCACAGAACCAAGAATGGTATCGAGTTTCATCGATAAAATTTTAACAAAGAGGCGTTGGAACTGCTTTCTTTGCACAAAGATGTTCAAAGGCAGCTCCCCTTGAATGTTGTCTTCATTAAGCCAGAAAGATTGCAGCAGCGTAAGTTTCTTTTTTAGATTCTCACAAGCCAACTTCAACCTCAACTTCGAACGAGGCTTATCGAGCAAACTCTTCGAATGCTTGTCTTCGAAATCGTAATCCACGAATGTCATGAGCTCCTGATCAAAATTTTCGCCACCAAAGGAGTCGTCACCACAAACCGCAAGAACTCTGATCTCCTTCTCACCCACTTGAATGACGGAAACGTCTAGCTTAGTGGCGCCCATGTCGAACACAAGGATGGTTTGTTGTGCCACGGAGGGGCCGCGGTTGTGCCAGTACGCCAGAGCTGTGGCTGTTGTTTCACTGATGAGGTCCAGCAAGGGCAGCCCGGCAATTTGACAAGCCGCCACGAGCGCCTCCCGCTGGGTGTTGCTGTAGGACGCGGGCACGGCTACTACCACTCCCCCGATGTCCCCAACTTGGATTTTAGCTTCTTGTCGCATCTTGAGCAGTTGCATGGCAGCGACCAGCTCCGGAGCGACGTGCAGACTTCCGCCGCGGTACTCCACTTCCATCACAGGCTTCCCCCCATCATCCACGACCTTCACTGGATTGTAGGATACGTAGTTTTGCACGACCGGGTCCCTGAAGCTCCTGCCGAGGATGGTCTTGACGCCATAGACGGTGTTGGTGGCGTTGAGCGCCGCCTGGTCCCTGGCATCGCTGCCCACGAGGCTGCGGGAGTCGGTGAAGGCAACAAAACTCGGAGTGGTCTTGTCGCCGTGAGCGTTTGGCAACACCGTCACCGCTCCAGCGCGCACGCTGGCAACGCAGCACTTGCCTGCGCCCAAGTCCAGCCCGATGCTGGCCGCGCCCGACATCTTCCTGTAATTTGAATGATGCTTAATAGTCGAGATACATTCAAGCAAATGCATAAATAATGCTGCATGAATCGTTTTCTGAAAATCTATCTAAAAAATGCTCAGCTAAACTCTAATGGAACGGCGATATTCTTTAGCAACCCTTTCGGGATTTCGTCAGTCTATACCTAATAGGAATATTAAATTTTTATAAAATATTTTACCAAATTATTATTTGTTAATATGAATAAGGAGTTTACACGGAAATGACACTGAAAATCTCAATGAAATCATAATTCAAAATTAAAATCAAAGCATTATAATTGTGCTAGTGCTGATGAAAACATTCATAGAACTAGTATTGGATCACTGCGCTAAAACTTAAAAGTAAAATGTAAGTTCAAGTGAGTGGAATCTCTCCTGAGCGAGCACAATGGGTCTCATAGATTTTTATTTCCGAAGTTTCAACAGAGAGAATAATTAAATTACTACAGATTTATGAATTATTTCATAATTAAATTTTTTGGATTCATAAATAAATTTCACAAGTTTATGAATTGTTCTCGATTTGAAGGCACAAACCAGGATTACGGAAAAAGATTATGTGATTCGAAGTTCGAAATTTAATCGACCTCAGTTTCTTCAAAAAAATTTATATTGTATAACAAACTTGAGAAATAGTCACACGAATCTTCATTATAATGGTCGTCAAGTTTATATCTCTGCTTACCAACTACTTTAACGCGGAATACTTTGTATTTTAAACCTTTTATTACAATAGGTTTATCACTTGATATCAAAATATCCATGAAGTAAAACTCATCTAAAGATAACATCACAAACCCTGAGCGCACTGCACACCTTATCAGCGTGATAAGAGACGGCGTGAAGGTAACTCGTCAGTAAATAATCTCTCACAAAGTAATCCGTAAAAAAGTAATCTGTCACGAAGTAATCCGTAAGAAAGTAATCTCTCACAAAGTAATCCGTAAGAAAAGAATCTCTCACAAAGTAATCAGTGAGAAAAGAATCTTTCACAAAGTAATCCGTGAGAAAAGAATCTCTCAAAAAGTAATCTGTAACAAAGTTATCCGTATGAAAGTAATCTGTCACAAAGTAACCCGTAAGAAAAGAACCTCTCACAAAGTAATCTGCAACAAAGTAATCCGTAAGAAAAGAATCTGTCACAAAGTAATCCGTTAGAAAGTAATCTCTCACAAAGTAATCCATTAGAAAGTAATCTCTCACAAAATAATCCGTAAGAAAGTAATGTCACAAAGTAACCCGTAAAAAAAGAATCTCTCACAAAGTAATCTGCAACAAAGTAATCCGTTAGAAAGTAATCTCTCACAAAGTAATCCATTAGAAAGTAATCTCTCACAAATTAGGTAATCCGTAAGAAAGTAATCTGTCAAAAAGTAACCCTTAAGAAAAGAATCTCTCACAAAGTAATCTGTAACAAAGTAATCCGTATGAAAGTAATCTGTCAAAAAGTAACCCGTAAGAAAAGAATCTCTCACAATCTGCAACAAAGTAATCCGTAAGAAAAGAATCTGTCACAAAGTAATCCGTAAGAAAAGAATCTCTCACAAAGTAATCTGTAACAAAGTAATCCGTATGAAAGTAATCTGTCAAAAAGTAACCCGTAAGAAAAGAATCTCTCACAAAGTAATCTGTAACAAAGTAATCCGTATGAAAGTAATCTGTCACAAAGTAACCCGTAAGAAAGTAATCTCTCATAAAGTAACTAGTAAATAAATCGCTCACAAAATAGCCTGTCAGAAAATTGTCTCTCACAAAGTAAACCATCACAAAGAAATCTTACAAAGTAAGAGCCTAACAATGATCATGAAAATACTGCGAATCTGCCTCTATATAACATGGAAATACGTTTAACTGCCATCATTAAATTATTTTCAATGTCATGAGGAGAATAAAAACCTAATACTTGACGAAGCTTCACGATACGACCAAACTAACCTCGTACGTTGGGTGCAGAAGAGATGATCTTGCTCGCCTTGCAGTGAATTTTTCAATGACTTGCACAAATCCTATAGATCTCCGTTCAGAAAATAAAACGATGTCACCAAAGTCTTCAATTAATGTAAAATAACGTTCTAACTACACAACTTTTACAGCCTTTTAAACGTTTCCCAGCAGGTTCAACTGTTCAACGCAGTGCAGCTCAGTCTCCTCTGTGCCGTGTTTCTAGCAACGAACCGAAGCGCTCGCTGGCAACTGATAAGATGACAGATGTCGCTATTGAAACCGATTTCAATTTCTATCGCTTCAACATTGATCCCATAATTTAAACAATCTATACGAGATTCTAATTTAAAACAAATCGCTTGTATATTAGCAAGTAAGCAACAACTGGTTTAGTATGCGTTGGATGAGAACAAATTGCTTGTAATTCGTGCTCAGAACTGGGCGTTCGATCGTCGTCCGGTGCTGTTACGGACACGTTCATACGACGTTACGAACGACGTCCTATGCACCGCTAACTTCCCATGGCTGTTTAAACTTCGAACTTTATATTAACTCCGGCAATCAGCTTATTTATATCAGTATTAGATTGCAGAATTTCACTGATACAAGTCAGATTTATGACCAGAGGATTCATATGATTAAAAATTGTCACGGAGTCGAACAATTCTTCGGCATTGGTAAATAAAAAAACAAGTTTTCTTTTCCTTATTTGGGAATGCTTCTTATTCTAATCTTCATTCTCTTCCATGCTTTTCTCTACCTGCAATATTTTCATATCTAGTTTTGAACTTTTCACACGCTGTGTAAATCCAGATTACTTACACTAGCACAATTTGGACTAAAATCAAATGCGTGCTTGTATCAACAACAGCGTCTCTCTCGTAATACTGCTCACGCAGCGGCGTACTTCATGCGCAGTATTACGAAGCAGCTTTAGGTGAACGTTTGCCGACTTTATTTGTAATAATATCGCCACTGCATCAATATGGAGGAATATAGTTAGAAGATATTCAAGACTTTAGGTGAAGTTATTGAAGCCTTTAGGCCAGTGGTTCCCAAACTTTTTCAGGCTGGCGCCCCCTTTGGCTCCCTAGGTAATTTCTAGCGCCCCCCACAGACACATATAAAATATACCCCTCTGTCTTGAAATTTAGTACGCTGCAATTTTAAAAGATGAAGGTTAAACACAAATGTGTATTTCAAAAATAGAACCCCATTTAGTAAATTAATGTTTTTCAGCTGTTTTAACTGTTTCAGCACTAGAAACCTAGGACGTCTCGGGCAAATTTACGGCCGGACTCGTGGCTGGTCTCACGGCCAATCTCCAAATTCAACGATCAAGTAATATCTCCCAAACTAGGAATGAACGCAGCTCAATGAAACTTGGAACATTCATCAGAACCTAATGGTGATGTTTAGGTCATAAAAATTCTTTAAATTTCACCTTCCTTCGTGAGTTATATTGCGATACAGTCCGAAATTCGCAGTGATCAAAGAATTTCTTCCTAACTATTGTACAGATTTGAACGAAATTTTGAATATACTTTCCTAACTACCAAACGGTAATTTTGTTTTTTGAATAATTAAAAAAAATAAATTTTAACTTCGTTTGCGAGTTTTTTTTTCATTTCACCGTCATTCTTGATTTCACACTTCCTTATATTCGGCCCGTATCGCCGGGTAATTTGTCGCTCAAATTCGCGGCGATCAAGAAATTTCTAAACTACAGAACAGATTTCAACGAAACTTTGTATATAAATACCCAACCTCCCAACGGTGATGTTTAGCTCGCGATAATTTTTATATTTTGCTTTCGTTATCGAGTTATACAGATATACCAGAAACGACCGGCTTTTCTAGCGGCCGGTTTAACCAAGAGCCGTTTACGTATAGCGGTGTACGTATATAACTCGCAAACGAAGGCAAAATTTATCAAAATCAAAAATTGTAACGAGCTAAACATCACCGTTGCTGAGGTTAGGTATTCAAATACTAAATTTCGTTCAAATCTGTTCAGTAGTTAGTAAGAAATTTCTTTATTACTGCGAATTTAAGCACGTATTGCTGTTTAAATAACGAATGAAGGTGAAATGAAAAAAAAGTCGCGAACGAAGGTAAAATCGAAAAAAAATTCACGAGCTAAACATTACCGTTCGTTAGTTAGGACTGTAAATTCAAAATTTCGTTGGAATCTGTTTAGTAGTTTGGGAGAAATTCCTTGATCACTGTGAATTTCGGCCCGTATTGCCATATAGCTCACAAATGAAGGCAAAATTCAAAATATTTTCACGAGCTAAACATTACCGTTAGGTCCTAATGAATACGTGTATTAAGTTTCATCGAGTTAAGTTCATTAGTTTGAGAGATATTCCTTGATCATTGAATTTGGAAATTGGCCGTGAGACCGGTCGCTTAATTTTTACGGGACGTAAACAGAGGAGAAGTTAAAAAGCAGATCTGGGTGATAAAACCATCGCTGGGAGTCATGCGCTGCACGTGTTGTGTACAAATAGTCAAACAAATGTTGGAACTTCGACTTCGGACTACCGCCCCCCTATCGCCCCCCTAACGCCCTCTTCTTCCATACCGCCCCCCAAAATCTTTCCACCGCCCCTAGGGGGGCGATATCGCCCACTTTGGGAACCACTGCTTTAGGCGAAGTTATTGAAGCCTTTAGGTGAGGTTATTGAAGCCTTTAGGTGAAGTTAGTGAAGCCTTTAGGTGAAGTTAGTGAAGCCTTTAGGTGAAGTTAGTGAAGCCTTTAGGTGAAGTTATTGAAGCCTTTAGGTGAAGTTATTGAAGCCTTTAGGTGAAGTTATTGAAGGTTTTAGGTGAGGTTATTCAAGACTTCTGATGATGTTAATCAATGCATTGGGTGTGGTTAGTGAATAACACAACTTGTGTGAACGATAATTACCAAGCTAAAACTTTAAACAAAAATTAATATCAAAGCTCAGCGCAAGCCATCAAAATTTTAGAGCCATCTAACTATATTGAAAGACCCAAATTAACTTAATGTATTTCTTGTGAACCAGTTCTACTTTTATTTTCCAAATTGTAAAATGCGAATGCCACAACAAAGTTGTATATCGGAATATAGAAAATATGTCTATCCTCAAATGATATAATTTATTCAGGTGATAATTTTTATAATGCTATTATTCAATGTACACATTGTACTGAACAAGTTCCAGCAGTGACGTCAATAATAAATCTAGGAGCAGGGAAAGAAGTTTACTGTTGAACTGCATACGTTTTATTTGGCTCATGGAGCCTTATTTGAATATTTAGTCGTGACGACAAATTTGATTAAAAATAGGTAAAGTTAAATTGGATTATGGCATATAACAAAATATGGCACACAAAACACATGCAATATGAAAGCAGGAAATCAGGAATTTTCTCGTATAAAATATTTTTTGACTTATATAATCAATAACCTTTGTTATATTTTGATTATTTTAAATGCAAGTAAATCACCCACAAAATATCCGAGTCAAAACAAACCAGCGCACGCAACATTGCATCGCGCAATGTCGCTCATACGATGACGTAAGTGCAACACTTATGACTTCGTAAGAGCTACTACACTTACGAGTTACGATGATGTAATTCCACCAGCCCATCACACCAACCTGGTCCTACACTCATTAACGCTGATTGCCGAAACGTTACATGAGGTTACGTTCGTTGTACATTAATAAAGGACCGTGTGAAATTCTCAGTATGCCCGGGAAAGAAGCTTAATCACGCAGTTTCATTTGTTCTTGAGTCCGTATAGGATCAATTCGATAAAAATATATTGAATGATTCAAAATAATTTGACCTAATTTTTTGACATATAGGACACTCTGAGTTATCACCTTCATATATGAACACCCTTAAAATATAGTTAAAACTGTTCAAGAGCATCAATAATTTCATCCAAATTGAAACAATATTAATCTCCGGAAATTTGTAGGCTCACAAAATGTTGCATTGGAAACGCCAAGATTCAGAGGTATCTTCTTGCGTCAGGCTCTCTTCTGGGGTATCTTCTCGCATCAGGCTGATGCCTCCGTTCAGGTGAATGTCATTCACTTCACGCTCGTGACAATCCATTGAGTTTCGCTTGGGGTTCAAGTTTATCATATTCGTCGATTCATCACACGCGAGATCAAGAGAACTTCCATCGTGACAATCATGGCCAAAGTCAGAAGAAGTCAGAGAGTCTGCGTCCTCCTGATGAGTAGTCAAGTCCATCACAATAGGATGTGTCAATGCTTGATCTGAATGGCTCATACAGTTCTTGGTAGGATATTTTGAATCGATGTCATCTTGGGGTACGCAACAACCCACAGGCTCGTTGGCCCCGAAAATCTTGTTGTCCATCGTGTTGATACTCTCCGCTGTTGAGTTGTCTTCTGAATTCAAGTACCGAGGCAAAGATTCGTTGGGTATATCAAGGATAGCAAAATCCTTACATGAAGTGTCCTTTGACGGCGATGATGACGTAGAGGAACTGCTGAATGATATTAAGTCAGCTGTATTACAGTCCTCGTTTGCCAGTGAATTGCGATTCATAATTTGATTTATCACATCATTCAAGGAATTCTGAGACAGACTTTCACTGTTACAATTGCTAAGCAAATAACTGAACATCCCATCAAGACCGCCTTTTACTCCGCCATTTACGGCTACGTCAAGATAATTATTAGTACTACTTGCTAACATCATCAATGCCCGAATTTCAAACACAACATTTTTAATTTCAATCACTGAATTCTCGAGACATTTTTGCCTTTTTTCAATCTCATCCATCTTTCTCAGGAATTCAAAATCTAATAATCTATTTGTGAGTTTTTCTGTCGACTGAGCTTCTAGAGAAGATTTATGATTAGATTCATTGGTAATAGCATCATTGTTCTGAGTATTTTCTTCGTCAGACTCTGGTACCACTTCACGGACATGCGACACTTCACCCGAGTTTTGATCTCCGTCAAGATCCTCATCTACTTGAGGACCAGTCCCATCGTCATCGGATCCCCCTGGTCCATCCTCACAATCTCTGTGTGCCTGCTGACTTACGTCCAAACTATCTCCATTACTGGAGTCAACAAATTCAGTCGAGTGGTCATTATGATTGGGCAAGAAAGAATGACTTTCGTGCTGATGTTCAAGTGCAGCATCATCGTCCGAAATTGGTTCCGACAACTCTTGAGACAATGCGTCTAATTTCTTTCGCCGTTTCTCACACTCGGTTAGTGAACTGATTTCGTTCTCATCAATCCACTCGAGAACTTCAGCAACGTACTCCAAGAAGTCGCGATTTTTCTCTGATTCTCCAAAGGATCCAAACTGTTCCCTCAATGAGTAGCAGAGCTCCTCCAAATCGTTGACAGCTTTTTCGGCGTCGATCACGTCTTTTCGAATTCTTTCCAGACTATTCAATTGATCAACCATGTCTTGTATTTGATAAGGTTTTAGGTACTCGACAAGTTTTGTCTTTTCCTCGTTGAAAGGTTTTATAAACTGCTTTTCAATTTTAAAAATTCCGAATGAATCTAGTGCGTACGACCACCGTATTCTCTCTTCGATGAGGTCTCCACACGTTCCTGAGGTTTCGCAGATAATTGTCAGATTTGGCTTTAGGGGCAAATATTTATGCAATTTAATCTGGATTTCGACATTGCATGAAGTCGGGTCTTGAATCAGCTCGTTGATCACGACACTGCTCGACCGGTCTTCTTTGATGAGATTGTTTGCCATGATAGCGGCTCCAATGGCTGCACACTCATCAGCATTGACAGTTCTATTCAAAGATTTACCATCAAAATACTTTTTCAGTGCAGCTTCCACGAAAGGGACTCTCGAAGAACCTCCAACAACAACAACTTCATCAATTTGATCTTTGTTGAGTTTAGCATTTCGCATGACGGTTTTTAAAACGGCGTTCATTTCTTGAGTAAATGTTTGACAACAGAGAGTATCTAGTTCTCTCCTGCTCACTTTCAAGTCCAAGCAAAGATCGCGTAAAATACTATCCTGCTGTATCTTATGGGCATCAAGAAGAGTCAGTTTCTTCTTGAGTTCCTCACACGCCATTTTGAGCCTCATCGTAGCTCGTGGGTTGTCAAGTAGTCTAACTCCGTGGGTATCATAGAATTTGTCGTCCACGTACTTCATGAGAGCCTGATCCACATGAGAGCCTGAGGAAGCAGCGAACCCGCACACCGCCAAAACACTAATTTCATCTTGACCCACTTTGACCACTGAGACGTCGACCTTGTTGGCCCCCATATCGAACACCAGGATGGTTTGTTGTGCCACGGAGGGGGCGCGGTTGTGCCAGTACGCCAGAGCTGTGGCTGTCGTCTCACTGATGAGGTCCAGCAGAGGCAGCCCGGCAATTTGACAAGCCGCCACGAGCGCCTCTCGCTGGCGGTTGCAGTAGGACGCGGGCACGGCTACTACCACTCCCTCGATGTCCCCAATTTGGACTTCAGCTTCTTGTCTCATCTTGAGCAGTTGCATGGCAGCGACCAGCTCTGGGGCGACGCGCAGACTGCCGCCGCGGTACTCCACATCCATCACAGGCTTCCCCCCATCATCCACGACCTTCACTGGGCTGTAGGATGCGTAGTTTTGCACGACCGGGTCCCTGAAGCTCCTGCCGAGGATGGTCTTGACGCCATAGACGGTGTTGGTGGCGTTGAGCGCCGCCTGGTCCCTTGCATCGCTGCCCACGAGGCTGCGGGAGTCGGTGAAGGCAACAAAACTCGGAGTGGTCTTGTCGCCGTGAGCGTTTGGCAACACCGTCACCGCTCCAGCGCGCACGCTGGCAACACAGCACTTGCCTGCGCCCAGGTCCAGCCCGATGCTGGCCGCGCCCGACATATTCCTGCAAGGCAAATGAAAATTAGTATCATTGCTTATAATATCATTGTTTTCTGCTACGTACATGAATAAAGCACGAATTTTGTCCTAAATCTATAGAGATGTTCGTGACACTCATGCGGATAAGCTAATTTTTCTCATTCACGTTAGCTGGAGGAAACTTCTTTACCATTAAGGAAACTTCTGTACCATTGAGGGAAATTATGTTCATATACAACTATATTAAGCGCAATTGTCATAAAATCGTTGAATGTTGCAGGCAAGACTCTACAAACCTACGATTTCAATCTGATTCTATTCTAGACACTCTTCTGGGATCTTGTCGACGATCAATTTGTTCAACGAGGAATCTTATTGACGAGGGAATATGTCTTAAGGAACATCCTCGACAAGGAATATTCCCGGCCAGAGATCTTCAGGTTCTGGATGTTCTCCTCGAGGCAGGCAGGCTGATCTTCTTCACTGCGGTGCACGGCAGAGTATCCTGCGTGACTGCGGCGCATGGTAGAATATCCTGCGTGACTGCGGCGCACGGCAGAATATCCTGCGTGACTGCGGCGCACGGCAGAATATCCTGCGTGACTGCGGTGCACGGCAGAATATCCTGCGTGACTGCGGCGCACGGCAGAATATCCTGCGTGACTGCGGCGCACGGCAGAATATCCTGCGTGACTGCGGTGCACGGCAGAGTATCCTGCGTGACTGCGGCGCACGGCAGAATATCCTGCGTGACTGCGACGCACGGCAGAATATCCTGCGTGACTGC